AATTGACATGTGAAAACTGGAAATGTGATTTTGAAAGGGGAAGAATTCTGATCGTTGTTTATGCACTACAAGATAAATAAAAATGTTTTGCATTATAGAGTTGCGTGATGTCAACTCTAGTGGACACTTCTGTACCTTCAGAATTACTATTATTAACAAAATTTAAAAAACATATTCAACATTTCATGTCTTAAGAAGTCACAGTGCAGAATCAATTGTCACATTTTAAGAGTATTTAAAGTCCAACTAAATCACATTTGACCTTTTAACTGCTTAATCATGTAAATACCTGTGATTCTTTTTCTTTTATTGCATGCAGGGATGGCATCAAGTTTGTGTGCATGTCATGTATGCATTTTCCCTGCTGTCTCCAATGAGTATTTATTTAATTACTACTAACAATAAAGTATCATTAAGATGTTATTTTCTGTGAAAATGTCATAACTTTAAAGACTTACACGGAAAACACAAGTTTTCCCAGTTTGAATCTTTAAGGAATATATATTTTTTTAATTTATTTGTTAGGGACAGTGCATATAAATGAACAGCTGTAACAATTACAGCTGTAAAAATGTAAAAGTTATAGCAGAAGTGCTAGTTTCCATCTGTTGTCCCTAGGCAGGTAACCTTTTTGTTTTCCCTTTCTCAGAAATGGTGACATTATTTAATTTAGTTTTAAACCAAATATACATCACAACCATTTTCTATATTTTCACTCATGAGAGTTTCACTCCAGTCACTCTCTTTGAAAGCTGCGTCCAGACTTGGAATTTGGTTTTGTGGAATGAACTGATGACAACTTCTAGTTGTGTATGAGTTGGGAAATCTTGTTTTTGAGAGTTTTCGTGAGAACAAAATTATATTATGATCTGAGATTCCTGTTAGTAGATTGTAGTTTTTTTAATTCTTTCAAGATGATTTGTAAATAATAATTCTATTCTGGTTGAGGAACGAGGAGTTATTCTGGTGGGTTTATCTATTATTTGTTTAAGATTAAATTGGCCAGTAATTTGCTTGAGATTTGTTCTATCCTTCTTATCATCCCAGTTAATATTCAAGTCACCCATGATAATCAACTCTTTGTCTAAGTTACAATAGTCCAGAAGAAGTTCCAGTTGATCATAAAAATCTATCTTTGCAGATGGCTTCCAGTAAATACAAATTACAATAAATGACATTTCAGATTAAAGAGAAATAGTCACACACATACATTCAAGTCCAACTTCACTAGGCCATTCAATTTGCTCACATTTTAAGGTGTTTTTAATGTATAAGAGAACCCCCCACCCCTGCCCTTACCCCTGTCTCTTCTAAAGGTGTTGTATCCAGGTATATTTATTACAGCTTCTGGAGAGGAGCGAGTGAGCCATGTTTCTGTCAGTCCTAAAAAGTCAACATTAGAATTGCCTAATATATGTTGTAGTTGTTCCCGTTTTTGAGTCATGCTCCTGATGTTTAAGTGTCCCCCAAATAAGCCACCGGGCTTGCACTTTGGATCCCAGACTGTCTTAGCTTGATAGAGTGTTTGAAATAATTTTGTAGCGCGATGCTGTTTCATTACTGGGTTCCTCAGTTTGATATCCTTGCACTGCTGGTGGCGTGAATCTGCTAGCTGTGGTTATAGCCTGGCTGGCTGTGGTTGCAGCCCTGCCAGTTGTGGTTGTAGCCCGGCTGGCTGTGGTTGTAGCCTGGCTGCTGGTTGTAGCCCAGTTAGCTGTAGCTGCTAGCTGTGGTTGTAGCCCTGCAGCTGTGGATGCAGCCCTGCTAGCTGTAGTTGTAGCCATGCTAGCTGTGGATGTAGCCCTGCTAGCAGTAGTTGTAGTCATGCTAACTGTGGATGTAGCCCTGCTAGCTGTGGGTGCAGCCCTGCTAGCTGTAGTTGTAGCCATGCTAGCTGTGGATGTAGCCCTGCTAGCTGTAGTTGTAGCCATGCTAACTGTGGTTGTAGCCCTGCTAGCTGTGGCTGCAGCCCTGCCAGCTGTAGTTGTAGCCATGCTAGCTGTGGATGTAGCCCTGCTAGCTGTAGTTGTAGCCATGCTAACTGTGGCTGTAACCCAATTAGCTGTGAAGGTTTAGCACCTTCATTGAAGGTCCAGGATTTATTTCAACATCACCAGCCAGGAGCAGTATTATCAGAAGATGTACAATTCCCAAGAAAGGTTTAGGTTTGTTCAACTGTTCATGTTTACCTGAGGGTGGCCTTGCACCGTCCATTGTCCAGTCATCTTGTGAAGAGAAGGTGTTGACTCTTCTTGGCTGGGTAGAGGACTTGGTCACCATTTCTATCCATTTTTGGTGTAAGTGTTAGGCACAAGAGTAGAGAAAATGCACAAACAGTAAAGATACATGCAGATGACAGATTTCAGACCAGGAGGCAGAGCTGCAGTCTTACACGCTTCTCTGCGCCCCCCTTAGATCTGTCTCCCAGTCACTATAGTTGTAATTCTGAATCGAACTGTAGTTATACTATAGGTACTGTGTCTGTCCCCCGGCCCAGACCCGTTTTTATAAGTCATCCAAACGGCGTAAATCGTCAAAATCTCATCAGAATCAAGACTACGAATATGATTTTGCTAAAAAACCAGAAGATTCACTGCAGACTTTTGAACATTAGGTCCTTAGCATCCAAATCTCTTTTAGTGAATGATCTGATATCAGATCAGCATATTGATCAACTCTTTTTTGACTGAAACCTGGCTGTGTCAAGATGAATATGTTAGTTTGAATGAATCCACTCCTCCCAGCATTTTTGTACTCATATACCTCGAGACACCGGACGAGGTGGTGGAGTAGCAGCTATTTTTAATTCTGGACTTCCAGTTAACCCTCGACCAAAGCTGAATTTTTCTTCTTTTGAAAGCCTTGTTCTTAGTTTTTCACATCCAGTCTCAAGAACCTTTCAGCCAGTTCTAGTTGTTGTAGTTTACCGTCCTCCTCTGAGCTTCTATCAGAATTTGCAGAATCTTTATCAGATTTAGTCCTTAGCAGTGATAGAATAATTGTTGTAGGTGACTTCAATATCCATGTGGATGTTGATAATGATAGCCTGAGCACAGCTTTCATGTCACTATTAGACTCTATTGGTTTCACACAGGGTGTAAACGAACTTACTCATCGTTTCAACCACACTCTGGATCTTGTTTTAGCTTATGGCATTGAAATCCATAACCTTACAGTTTTCCTAGAAAATCCTCTTCTATCAGACCATTTTTTTTATTACATTCAACTTTGTCCTACCAGAATTACCTCTGCTCGGAAGAGGTGTGCTCTCTAGAAGTTTGTCGGATAGTGCTGTGGCTAGATTTAAGGAAGCTGTTTTTGATTCAGTACCGTGTTTCAACCCAGTTGGAAACTCTTATGATAGCTTTAGTCCCTCTCAGCTAGATCAGTTTGTTGAAAGTGCAGTGGATTCACTGAGAGTTACTCTTGATTCGATTGCACCCCTGAAACACAAGGTTGTCAAGCGGCGGAGAGTGGCTCCATGGTTCAAATCAGAAACCTGTACTCTAAAACATCGTCGCGAATTTTGAAAGAATATGGCGCTCGACCAAAACGGTAGAATCTCGTTTTTTTCTGGCAGGATAGTCATAGAAGATATATGAAGGCTCTACGTCACGCTCGAGCTGCCTACTACTCCTCTCTAATCGAGGAAAACAAAGGCAATCCTAGATACCTTTTCAGCACTGTAGCCAGGCTGACAGAGAGTCATGGCTCCATTGAGCCTTGTATTCCTCTAGCCCTCAGCAGTAATGACTTCCTGAGCTTTTTCAACAACAAAATTCTAGACATCAGAGACAAAATTGGTAACCTCCTGCCCTTACCTGGTGCGGATACATCTGATACAGTAGAGACAGTTCCAGGACCAGATATTAGTCTCAACTGTTTTTCTCCAATCGACCTTTCAGAGCTATATTCCATTTTTTCTGCGTCAAAACCGTCAACCTGTCTTTTGGACCCAATCCCAACCAAGCTGTTTAAGGAAGTTTTTCCCTTGGTTAGCAACTCTATATTAGTTATGATCAATTCGTCTTTACTGGCAGGCTATGTACCCCAGGCATTTAAAGTAACGGTAATCAAACCTCTACTTAAAAAGCCTACTCTGGATTCAGGAACTCTGGCTAACTACAGGCCTATATCCAACCTTCCTTTTCTCTCGAAGATCCTGGAGAAGGTGGTAGCTAAACAGCTGTGTGACTTTCTCCATGACAACAGTTTATTTGAGGAGTTTCAGTCAGGATTTAGAGTCCACCATAGCACTGAGACTGCACTAGTTAGAGTTACAAACGATCTACTTCTAGCTTCAGACAGGGACTTCTGTCATTGTGCTCGTGCTTGTTACAGGGTCTAAGTTGGTTTGAATCCTACTTATCAGACCGATCTCAGTTTGTACATGTTAATGATGAGTCCTCTATGCACACTAAAGTTTGCCATGGAGTCCCACAAGGTTCAGTGCTTGGACCAATTCTCTTTACATTATATATGCTTCCTCTGGGAAATATTATGAGGAAACACTCCATACAGTTTCATGGTTATGCAGATGATACTCAGCTGTATGTATCAATGAAGCCCGATGGCACCAGTCAGTTATGTCAGCTAGAAACGTGCCTTAAGGACGTTAGGACCTGGATGACCAGAAATGTTTTGCTACTTAACTCAGACAAGACTGAAGTTATAGTGCTAGGCCCTAAGAACCTCAGAGAGACTTTTTCTAGTGATTTGACTGTCCTTAATGACATCAGACTGACATCTAGCACCACTGTAAGGAATCTAGGAGTTCTTTTTGATCAAGATATGTCTTTGAGCTCTCACATCAGACAAGTTTCAAGAACAGCCTATTTTCACCTTCGTAATATATCCAAGATCAGGAATATCCTGTCGCAAAATGATGCAGAAAAACTAGTTCATGCATTTGTTACCTCAAGACTGGATTATTGTAACTCTCTTTTGTCAGGGTGCTCTGGCAAGTCCCTAAAGACTCTTCAACTGGTCCAGAACGCTGCAGCTCGTGTACTGACCAGAACCAGGAAATGGGACCACATCACTCCTGTCCTGGCTTCAGCCACATGGTGACCTTTTAGCCACATGGTGAGTCCTCTGGTACTGGATTAAAACAACAAAAAGGGGAAACAGACTCTGTGTTAAGTTTATCATATGAATTCTTCTTGAAGATACTTAACTCAGTCATAAAAACCTCTGAATATTTATAGTGTGTTATCATGTCTAGCTTTCAACATCAAACTAATCTAGTCAATCAAGAATGTGATAATTATATGTTGCCAAACAGGGAGTTTACCTCTAAATGGAGGACTATTTTTAACTAGATTTATCAAACTGAACATGTGCTTTTTAGCTGATGGGATCATAGATTGATAAAGTATGATATATGACATGGGGTTTTATATCAGAGCTTGAACTCAAACAGTGAAGAGTATCTCCTATCCCTAAAGTATCCAGTAACAAAACAAGTAAATGTGATACAGGGGTTCAATTAAAAACAAAAATCAGAAGCAAAGAGCTTAAAGCATGCAGCATAAAAGAGGTATAGAAAACGTTAAAAAATACCTTCAAAGTAGACACTAATAGAAACATGTTGTTTTCCCAGCATCTATAAAATTAAACAGAAGTTACACCCAAACAAAATAAAGATGAAGACGACGGCTACCCTTCATAAGATTTTCCTCCCTACATTCAACCATTGTTTAGATATCCAGTGATGTGTCAAAATCTGGACGATAATGAATAAAAACGCCAGCTCAAACAACAGATAACAAAGCAGTTTTACAGGAACTTTGCTCACTAACAGGTGAGCAGCATCCTTTCCCAGTTCACTGCCCTGGGTAAATAAAAAATAATAATTTACTATTAAAGGTCACAAATGCATAATATCTCCATCTTTTGTCTGCTCCACTCCTCCGAAAAATGGAGTTAATGTATTTACTTAGGTTCGGTAGCAGGATCACGCCTAAAACCACACCTGTAATTACCTGACAGCCTATTTACACCTGGTCACCTCACCACATCCCGTTTGTCTCAGATCCTTCTACCCACCCCCCTTCCCTACTTCTCATCCATTCACTCTCCTTCCTCATCTGTTCCCTTGTTGTGGATTTTTCTGTTGGTAATAAAAGATCTCAAGTCAAAGTCTTTTGTCTTTGTGTATTTTATTGCATATAGTAAGAGTTGTTTTGCAAAAGGGGTAATCAGCTACAAAAGTAACATCAGTCACAAGTGCAAGATTCCCGGGGCAGTCCCGGTTGCAGAGCATATTTATACATTCACAGGGTGTAGGTATATTGCATATACATGAGTAATACATGGTCATTGGTTTCAGCTTGCCCTAGTGGCTACAGCTTCTTCTAGTTTGCCTGGTGATTTATCTATGCAAGCTTCTTTATAAGGTACCTGTTACCTCATTACCTCAGATAATGAGGAGGGTACCTGTTGGAGATGCAGACCAAGGCCATACAGAGAAACAGTTTTTAATTGCTAAATGACGCACGAACATTTAAGTCTTTTAAGTTCAAGGATGACAGACAGACAGTATTTTTCCACTACACTCTCCTTCCTCATCCCTTCTCTCCCCCCTCATCCCTTCCCATCCAACTTGACACACGCCTCTCCCTCGTCTCTCTCACTTCAGGTACAGTCTGGGGCCGTAATCAGTTTGGGTGGATCCATACCTGAGACGGAACCCCCACTCTGAGTCTCTCGCTCGCCCGATCAACCTCCTAGACCAGCCTGAAAGACGATGGCCATCTCACACCTACACCCCTCTCATACACATACATCTGTCAATATATCTTACATTTACAATTCACATTAAATGTTCAAACTAATACTGTTGTGGCATGGTCCTTTCTAGTGAATTCAATCATCAGTGTGATTAGGCTAGATGTTGACTGGTGAAAAAAAAAAACAAGCCAAACAAAATAATCACCCTGACACACATGTTCATTTGTGAAATTCTCCTGTATGTGTAAACAAAACGTTGCCTCACATCTCGTCACCATAAGATAAGGGATTATCTGCCATCGTATGGTGATCGGCTAGCTGTTTTTGGATACTGCAAACGCAAGGAAAACGAACCAAGGAGTCGCAAGATGAAGGTTTTTGAGCGGCTTAGAGGAAAACTATCAAGAAGCAAGGGTGAGCATGTGCCTGAAAGAGAGCATCACACTATTCCAAAGAACGCCCAAAAGAATCAGAGAAAAATTGAGATAGGATGGATGCATTTCAGAGAAGGAGGATTTGTGCAGGTACACACCAAAAAGGGCGGAGGGACCAGAAAAGAGAGTGTCTCAACGGAAAGTAAAAAAAAGAACTTGCTAGAAAAGGCTCTGCACTTGTTTTTTCCAGATGGAAAAATGCAGAGGGTACCCTTACTGATTTTGACATTGATTTGACCAATTTTCAGCAGCATTCATTGGACGATACTATCACAGTTGGAGAACTGTATGAAAAGACAAAGTTACCTCTCTTACGTTTCTATTTAACAATCAAGAAGCAAGACATACAGTGCACTTTAGGAAATGTCTTCAAAGTGCCATACCAACCCGGTATCATGCCAAAACGTGTAATAGACACGTTGGTCCACTAGAGGATGCGTGTCAGTGTCACGCATTGCCTGTCTTCAGCGTCAAATGTTCACGCCTGTGATCTGTGCCATACCAGCAGGGGGCGATAATTTACTCAATGTCAACATCCTTCGCGGACAAAAGAGAAGCTTTTCAGTGTATTCCAAACCTCCTTCCTGTCAGGTAAGAGTAATTACCCGGGATTAACATTTATTATTAATTTATTATTAACCTAAGTTTGAAATATTTGAGGTTGCCTATGACTGTTTTTCATGCTAAATACATGTCGTTTGGTGGTAGAGAGCCAAGGTTATTAACATGAGAGGAAATTGAAGTAGTAACGTAATGAAAATGCATTTAGCAATAGCATTTAGCTGCCCAGCTAGTTTAAAGACTATCTCTACTTTAACGTTTTCTCAAACCTGATAAAGTTGGGCTAATATTATATCTAGCTAAGGTGGAAGTAGTATATCCCCCAGTACTAGATAGATCAGTATTTGGACCTGTTTCTGTGTAAACAGTGATCGTGTTAACTGGCGGTGTTACGGTGTGACCAGTGACCGTGTCATCTGATGGCTTACAGCCTAAAGTGCTCTTCGCGGTAACCGCAGCTGATAAACACAAAAGGTGTCCACGTAAATGCCTAAAAATGCACTCTTTAGATACGTCTGTAAATGAATGATTTAACAAAAGAGGCTCTATCCGTTTCTATTCCGTTGTGAGCAGGACACCAACAGACGCGTTCGGCTGAAAGTCTCCAGTTAACGCGGTCACTATTTGCACCGTAACACCTGCCAGGCCATTTCTGTTTTAGCTTTTTATCTTTTGTACACAAAGGGCCATTTAATAAATCCTAACTTTTGTCAGGGGAGGTATTTTATCTATGGTCAGTATGGGAGGACTATTGAATAACTGGTTATATCAGTAAATGACATCGATGATTCTGACATGTTTCTCCAGATTAGTAACCTACGGCTTCTATATATCCCAACATTAGACTACTACATAATAGACTTTGCTTTAAATCAGCATAGCTTAGTTGGCATGCTCCTAACATGACAGCCAGTGGGAGCTGTATTTTCACTGGCTTCTATTTGTGATGTGGCTTTGATTTGATCATAAATTAAATAACAATTGAATACTGATATTCTTGCTGTTGTTTTTGTCAGAGTCTGCAGCTACCAGTGGTGACGACCAACATAATCTTCAGCTGTCAATTAAACAAATGTTTCTTGATGTCCATAAAAAAAAGCCAGCCTTTATAATCACACTGGTAAGTTGATAAGTCATTCAAAAATGTTCCATTTATATTACTTGCAGATGCATCATCTGGATTGTTTTGGTATCGAGAAGTCTATAGCTCACATACCTTATGTCTTGATTTAAAAGAAAGTAGGCCTGCCTTTTATGATATTCAAGTTATTTCATTTTCTTACATTTTGATTAATTGATTGTTTTTTCCGTTTTAAGAAGTAGTCTTTTAGTTTTCTGATATCTGCATACATATGCTTGTACATGTGTGTTTTCTGTTTGTATGTCAATAGACAGCAACAAAATTAGGCACCTTAGACGAAGGAAACTCCGGGAAAGAGAAGAAGAAAGTCATGGAAACAATGAAGTTCTACATTGAACAGGTTCCAGATGTGGAGCGGATCATTGAGGAGAAGGTGGAGTTCATGTCAAAAGTGCGGCTTCAAGAGGAAAAGATCATTTTGATGAGAGAGATGAGACAGCACTGCACCTACCTCAGAAGGCTGGCCTGAAATCATCAGGACAATGATAGAAGAAATGTCTTCTGGTAGAAGCAGTGGTAAGAAGCTAGCTTTACATATCTGCTAAAAGAAAATGACACCATGCAACCCCCACTGCAGAAGTTATACTATTGCATTTACTGTCCAAAATCATGAGCCATACAGGGAAAACCACTATAGAATCAGTTTTTAACGTCAATTTCCTTTATTCCAATTAACTCCAGCTCAATTTAAGTATGTGCGGCCAAAACCTGTCAATAGTCTGTCTGTGTGAAAACCCACTATATTTTGCAGGTTGAGATAATATGGTGCCAAGACAGTTCATTTTAAGAAATCAAGAGTTAGTTATAATCCCTGTTGCTAATTTCTATTTTGTTAGGTACATTTGGGGAAATACTTCCAGGCAGTACCCAGTTGGGCCTGCCTACTTATACTAGAGCGAATTATGCAAGAAATGGTATCTCCCTACTTGAAGGTCCTCAAATCCATTTGTGAACAAACACAGTTAGTCTGATTATTTTATGTAGTGAAGTTAACTTCAGTGACAATGGCACTCCTACAGCATATCAGAACTTTAGATACATTTGTCTGTAGAACATGGTATTTCACAAATGTTATGAGGAAGTTGAAGATTCAAGGTAATGAAGTAGGAGGGGAAGAGCACTGGTTTTATGTTGTGGGGATAAAGAGTTGGCTCAGCTACATTCTGGGCCTGATTTTGACAACAAAGACAGAAAAGAGGTGGTAAAGAAGCTGAAGGCTGGACAAAGTGACTTGCCATCATTTTAAAACGTCTCCCTAAAGGACATTTTATTGTTAGGTTGTTAATGTTGGTGCCAGTTTAAGGTCTGTCTGGTGATTAAAATATAGCTTGAAGAATGGGCCTAACTGTTCTTGAAACATGGAAGGAGTTGGTCTGTCAAAAAGTACATCAGTCATATTTAATAGCAAATTGGAGAACATTTGTACAAACAGAAGGTCCATCATCACTTTGAGACTATTGATTGTTGCCTTCTGAATTCCTTGGCACTAAAACTAAAGCTGTCGTTCTTTATGAAAGTAAGTTTATGACTAGCTGGGCAACATTCCATTGATGGGAATGATTTTCTAGGCAGTGTCACTGAAGAGGGGCATCGTGGGCTACTATGTCTGCTTCAGAGAAGGCTTGTAGAAGTTGTCTGTTCAAGTTACAGCCAGGCATTAGGAGCAAATGCTGTTTCTCTTCTGGAGGATGGGCCTGAGGAGATACTAGTGAACCATAATGAAGTAGATCATGAAAGTTCTGATGAGAGTGATTTGGAAACAGTGTGAATGAGTGGCTCTCATCTGGTGGGTTGAAGCAAATATTTTGAAATGTCGGGAACAATTACACAAAAACAATACAAATCAGGCAGGTTTCAGTAAGCTTCTTCAGAGTGAATAAATGAGGCTGTGTTGTATCATTGGAAGATGTTATTGTTTTTTTAAATTATCATAGACTGTAAATAGAATTATAAAGCCAGAGTTACGTCACCCATTGGTTTCTGAAGAGCTGTTTTTGTAGCCTATTCATGACGGTCTACCTATTGGAAATGCTACCTTTGGCAAACTGGTCAACCTAACAGGCAAACAGCTGAGGCGAGTCTTTAGCCTCATTACAAACCACTAAAATGTGTTCGCTTGCAGTCGGATCGGTCATGTCATTAATAACTAGTATCCTTCATAAAATCAAAATGAGTGGCTTATTAAATAAAATCAATCTCTGTAGAATATTTGCTGATAAAGACATTAACTAATAAGACCTAAATCATTTGTAAATGAATTGTAAAGAAGTTTATTTCCGCTGTTAAAATTGACTTTTTACCGTATTTTCCGCACTATAAGGCGCACTTAAAAGCCTTTAATTTTCTCAAAAAACGACAGTGCGCCTTATAATCCGGAGTGCCTTATATATGGATCAATTGGTTAATTGGTTGATCCATACTGGTTGTACACGGCGCTCAGCGACACTGACTCGGATAATGACGAGAGGGAGCCGGGCATGTTGGATGCCGTACTCGCCCAACTGTTGAATTCGGACACTGAAGAAGAAGAATTCGAGGGATTCGTGGACGGGGAATGAACTGAAAAAGTGAGCTTTACGTGTTATACGTAACTGAACAATGTTGAGTTATGCACTAACGTTTGAATTAGCGGTATCAGACTGTGTTTCTTTTACGTGTTTACAACTGAACAAGGCTGGGAGATATTGTGAATATGCACATTAACGTTTGAACAACGTTGAGTTATTGTGAAAACGTAGTTTTATACGTAAGTTGAACAATTTCGAGAGTTACTATATTGTGAATGCACTAACGTTTGATTTAGTGGTATCAGACTGTTTCTTTTACGTGTTTACAACTGAACAAGGCTGGGAGATATTGTGAATATGCACATTAACGTTTGAACATCGTTACCATGGGAGTGAACGGAGTTGTCAGAACGCTTAATAAAGTTTTATCTGACTGTTTTGTTGACATTCCCTTTAGCACA